CAGACAGACAGACAGACAGACAGACAGACAGACAGCTAGCTAGCTAGATATAGCTAGCTAGCTTTGGGGCTTAGGGTATTAGGTGAACCTCATCAATACATTTTAGAAATCATCATTTCCCACCCTCTCAACATGCATGCAGTAAATATTTAAACGGCTGGGTCCCTTTTCCCTCGTTTAGAACGAAAAACGATCTCCCCCCCCCCCCCCCAAAAAAAAAAAGGAGCGCGAAGTTTTATCCGCCTGCGGAACCAATATTTGGGCGTTTGCGTTCCGGACGGATTGGTGGGGCGGGACCTTGTCGGAACCTTGTAGCGGAAGCCTTTTGTGGTACGGAAAGATTGAGCGTGACTCCTTGTCGCTTCCAGGATAATGTGGCGGAGAAGCGCCAGGGTCCCCGGGAGGCTCTGTGCTCTGGTGCGCTTTGGTGCTCCACGAAAGGACGTGGCGGTGGCCTTGCGCAGGTACGTCCTTGGGAGAGAAGAAGGTGACCCCCCCCCCCCGTAAGAGTATCGGTCTTCCATGCCCCGTTTCTAAGGCAATTGATATTCTCCTTTCAGATGTTTGCAAGGGGTGGGTGGGTGTTGCCTCTTCGCATTATTCTTTTTCCAAGGGTTCTTTGGAATGTTCTGTGACGAATCGTGCGCAGGCGGTAGGTTTTAGAGGTGAGAGAGGGACAAAACGTCTTTTTTTAATATTAAATTCAGCTCGCTCAGGAGGTTTTGGGTTGAGTTCACGAAAGACATGAGGTTTGGTTGTGGTTGCTACAGATTCGACCAATTTTGTAAATCCGAATAGTGTTAATGTACTGGGTAAATACGGACGCTGATTCAGCAACAATAGTCTTACACATGATTACAATAACAGAATAAAGATTCAATGTTAATAACAGAACAATAGAGGTTGGAAGGGACCTTGGAGATCTTCTAGTCCAACCCCTGCTCAGGCAGGAAAACCTATACCATTTCAAACAATCTCTTCTTTAAAACCTCCAGGGTTGGGGCACCCACAATTTCCTGAGGCAAGTCGTTCCACTGTTTAATTGTTCTAAATGTCAGGAAATTTCTCCTTAGTTCTAGGTTGCTTCTCTCCTTGATTAGTTTCCATCCACTACTTCTTGTCCAGCCTTCAGGTGCTTTGAAGAATAGTTTGACCCCCCTCTTCTTTGTGGCAACCTCTTAAAAAAAA